AAACAATGGGTCGCGCAACATATAGAAAATAATGTTTCAATTATTTATTGCTTTGCTTAGTCTTTATGATGATTTTAAATTAGATTTTTCAAATTTTGAGTTGGCAACCGGCCTTTGCAATAACGATTCGGTCGAACATAGCAATGCAAAAGTACGTGGAAGAGGTGGATTTAATGCATTGATTAGCATTTCGTCATTTTATCAACAGATTTTATTCATAGCAGTAAGAAAGGAAACGTTGTGACAGGATTCGCGTTCTTTAATAGAACAAGTAGTGAAGATATTTGTTACTTGGAAAATCCAGCAAAAATTAGCCCACGACTTAGATTTACTTGAGGACGGATCAAAGGAATTGAAGGGCATTCAGGAAATCATTCGAGCTGCTGATTCAATGAATTTGTATATTAACGTAGATTGCAGTGGGAAGCCTGCAATGCGATAACTTTCTTTGCTGGTTATTTAGCTAAAAAATGTTTAAGTAAATGTTCCTGTCTTGAATGTAAAAAGCTTTTGATAAAAGATATCAATTCGTCAACTACAGATAATGAACAATATATTAAATACAGGGAGTATTCGCATTCCAATCCGGACACGCCAGAAATCATATACTTGACGAGACAAATAGAATTTTTCGCCAATGTAGTAAATTGGCAATTAGAAGCATCTGATATGTATCATGAAAGTGTATGGCATCAAAGAAAATTGTTGTTTAATTTAATAGAAATTGTTGAAACATAGACTCGTGAAAGATTCCCAGATGGGTTCGATCAAGACAACATATGTTATGAACGTAGAATGCATGCTCTAAAGTTTTTATTAAGTCAAAATTTTTGGTAAGACGCGCGAGCATAACAGCGTTACAAAACTGCTATATAGGAAAAATATTATTAGTAAAAACTAGGAATTAAAGAAAATTCCAAATGTCTAATCATACATTTATTTGTAGTTGAATTTTCTTAGTTTATTAGACATAAGACTTGAAAATAAGGCCAGTACTTCATTTAAAAAAAATTCCGATCTGGCTTCCTTATCGAATTATGGGTGACAAGTTGAAAAATAAATTTTATTCTTGGTTATTACACCGTTTATTAGCCG